TATATAATTTATAAATGTATTGAAGTTATATTTTATTCACATTGTGATCTTAATACATTTGTAAATATGTCTCATATGTAAAAAATTACATACATTCTTATATTATTCACTATAAAAATCTAGTAAATGTGCACACATCGCAGAATAATTTCACATTATATTTTTGGTATATATGTATATGAAGAAAAAATGCTATATATTTATATATAAGCATTCCAAAATTATATAAATGTAGCATGTATTTATATGTATTCATTGTATAACTTATAAATAGTATTCCAGAAGTCTCTTATACATTTGCTCAAGTATTAAGCTTATTGTATGAATTAAAAGTCAATTTTTTTCTTAACAAAAATTGACCAGAAGATTTAGTGTAACAATAATTTTTTTAACTTGATACATTTATAATTTAACATAATAAAGTTTAAACGTTAAAATATTCTTATTACAATATTCTTTTACTTATAATTAAGTAAACTAATAATCTCTGGATTAAAGCATTTTTAATACTCTTCTATAAATTCTAGTATTTTTCAATGAGAGAAATGTAATAATTCTGGAGCACATTGCATATTGCATGTCAAAGAAGAAAATAATTATATAATGCATTTTATAATACTTCTTTCTTTCATTTTAGGTGTCTTTCCTATGATACGGCTACAAATCGTGCTCATTATATAACTTCCGAGTCTCCACCATTGTCTTTCAGTGATTCCAAAGGTGAGTACAAAAACAATTTAAATATTTCATCAAATTGTATAATGTTAATATTATGCTATTATTTTACTGGGCATTATAGTTTATGAATGGGATGAACAATCTGCCCAATATAATCCAAATTTATTGGATGATCCAGAACTTATCGCTGGAAAACATAGAACGTTACTAACATTTACATCATATATGGTATATATCTTAATTCCACTTGATTTAATTAATGATTGATGAAAAGCTTATATTAATACTACTCAACATTTTACACATACAGGCATCTGTTATTGATTATGTAAGACCTTCAGATTTGAAGAAAGAATTAAATGATAAATTTAAAGAAAAGTTTCCGCATATTCAACTTACTCTCAGTAAGCTTCGCAGGTAGGTCTAATTTATATCCTCAGTTGTGGTATAATTTCTATAAGTTCTTTTTTTTTTAGCTTGAAACGAGAAATGAGAAAAATAGCTAAATTAGAATATGGTATTGATTTACTCACTGTTGCAATGGCCTACGTATATTTTGAAAAACTTATTCTTCGAAATATCGTGACGAAGCAGACACGGAAGTTATGTGCTGGTGCTTGCTTACTTCTCGCAGCAAAATTCAACGACGTGAAAGGCGATATTCTTAAAGCCCTCATCGAGGTACCGTTATCGTGTATTATGTAATAATAAAGTTGTCGCGCAATAATTATCATTACTATTGTTTACAGAGAATTGAGGGTGTATTCCGATTAAATCGCAAGGACTTAATTACATCTGAGTTTGCCGTATTGGTAGCTTTAGAATTTGGTTTGCATTTGCCAACATGGGAAATATTTCCCCATTATCAGCGATTGATTTATGAATCCTGACATCCTTTCGTATCATTCTTTTCGCGCAATTTCAAAACCTCTCTATGAGAAAATCTTCGAGCAGTATAGCATATCCATAATGAATTATCTTACCCTCTGAGAGCTATATAATTAATCTTCAAAGCATTACATTTATGTATCACATACTTTTTTCCGACTTAATTCAGTTTTATATATATATATGATTTATTATAAAGGACCGTAAGAAGTAATTGTGATTGAAAAATAATGGAAAAATTAAGTTTTTTTTTCAATTATAATAATTTCTTTTGCAAGTTACCAATGTAGTAGTTGCTGCATGCTGTGAATTTTATTATTTGAATAAGTTTAATTATCTGTTTGGATATTAGTAAATAGATGATTACAAGAAATTATGTTTACTACATACACTACCACATTATTAAAATATTTCTTTTCTAAGTTGTAAATATTAGTTATGAAAATTTGTTAAATATACTCAAATTGTCTTATGAGAAATATACTAGCAGTTTGGTGATATACAATTCTTTCTAGATAACGTAAATATGATAGTTTTAAAAATAAGTTTGTTTTAATGTTTGCACTTCTTTATACATTCACTATAGAAAGATACTTGAAACAAACAAACAAAAACTCTTTTATTTAAAGTAAAAGATATAGGAGACGAAAGTGTTTTGGTTGGAGAAGAATATCAAACAATATTTTTCTTTTTCTAAAACACAATTTTTATCTGAAACATTTTTCAACCTTAAAAAATATTTCGTTGACCTTTAAGTGTATCTTTAAGTACGTTATTCTCTCTCTTTCTCTAATATCATACATTTCACAAAACAGCTGCTCTCCTTTTAATCATATAAATTTTTCATTTTTAGGTAAATATTTTTTCTGGAAATACCTTACAAGTATAAAATTGCTATATGTACAAAATAACAGAAATTTGGTATTTCTTATAAATATAACAAAACATAAAATTAGGCATGAACCCGTACAGTACAAAACTTGCAGTTACATTGCAATAACATTGCTGTAATGTTGCTGCAATGTAACTGCAAGGTTTGTGCTGTATGGGAATACATATGAAAAAAAAAAACGATAACTTAAGAGAGCATTTCCTACAACTCTTAACTTGAGAGTCAAAGCTTAAAATAGATATATTTATATGGCAATGAACAAGCAGATTGAAAATAATGAATATTTCGCAATGGTTACCTAATTTTTTTTCACTAATAATCATATTACTGTTACAGTAGAAATATTATCCATTTATAACAACGATTATATTTATAATACAAATTTAAATTATATAGAATGCATGAGAAAGTCTTCATAAATATTTAGTAAAGGTCATTGTATATAAACATATAAATTTGATATATTAAATTTCTTTAATTTTTTTCGTTTTTTTTAATGATTTATTTTAATATGAAAAATAAATATGTTTTATATGCATCAGGGCATCAATAAAAGTATTCTGATAAAAGTTATGCTTCAAGTTTATATATATATATTCATGTTAATATATTCTTCCAATTTGTATAATACTTGTATAATGATTAGGGTATTATAAGTGTTATAGAGTATGTCTATGTCCTATGTTAAAATCCTGTTTGTTTTGTAATATAGAAATAAGTTGTTTTTAATTATATATATAAAATTAGGTATATATTTTATTATAAAGTAACATGTAACCAACATTTTATTTTTTCACTTAATGTCGATTTTTTCGTTTTCTTCGTTTTAATTATTGATATATCGTTGTAAATAATACGGCAATTAAATGTAATGAAAATCATCTTGTAGCAGTATAAAAAAGTAAGCGATATTCTATATTATATATATATTTTATCACTTTAGTATATTTAAACTCGGCCATATTCCTTTTAGATGTTGGTAATATATAATACTTGTTACAGATTTTTTCAAATTGAATATATAGATGTATCCCTTATTTTTAGAGTGATATCAGAAACATATGAGATGTGTCTTTCTGAAGCGTACCTTTAATGAACATATGTATAACGCAGTTTCCTTCAAATTGACCAAAATGAATATGCTTCTTTTAATATATAATTATATTTATACTTTACAGCAAGTGGGATATGTTATGCAGATTAATGAGACTTGAACATTTATATATATATATATTTAAACTAAATTATAGAATATTATATATGTGTGCTCTGTGCTCAATTATATTTATATGTATAAAATTATCATCTGGTTCAATTTTTACATGTTAGAGGACATTTTAATTGATATATTCTGTTTTTACAGTCTATCATATTTTAGTTTTATTCAGTCACAAATAACTATTTAACAGAATATAAGTGTTATAGATATACCTATTTCGTGTTGTATTATCCATTTTATTGCTGTAGGCACCAATTGTCATAACATTTTTTTTAAACAATATTTTTAATGAGAAAGTATAAGAAAGAATGCAAAAATATAAGATACTCAGATATTTTATACATGTACAATGTGCATAGAGTATATACATTATTTGTACAGTCAATTTCATATATACTGAAGGAAAATATACCCTTTTAGCATCGTGTGCTATACTAATAGAAATATTTCTAAGTAACTGGATAAGTGCTTGTAGAAAAGATAAATCTGAGGAGGAATTATTAGTTTGAATATAGGAAGCAAAGTACATATATAAGTATTTGGACTATATTTCTATTTGGTGTCCTGTTTAGAACTAAACATGGCTATCTGAAAATTTTAGTTTGCGCAGAACGTAATATTAATATCACGAGCCGAGAACCAACTAATTCCGAACAACACGCATGTCTAAAAGACTGCTTAAAGTTTTCTGGAATATAGCCACGTCTGGTCCTAAACCTATGCAAAATACAGAGTTAGAATTTAGATGTGTTTGAAGATAGCAGTAGCCCTAAAAATGACTAATTTTTATGTAAACTTCTAAGATACCATTTTTAATATCACAAGACGACGTGTAATACCTTTATAACCCAGTAAATCTCTTCAGCGTACTTGTTATCAAAAAATATCTCCTAGTTGCAGTTTTTACACGTAGCAAATTCATATTTTCATAAGCCAATTTCACATACAATATTTATCCTCGATAGGTTCATAATCTTTGTTATATATGTCGTGATGTCTTTCAATTTTTAAAAGCCAACTTTAGAGATGAGCGAATCATTCATTTCTTAAGCTAACAATAAGCCACATATACACACATATATTTGTAAGTATAAGATATATCATTGCGCATTTTCTCTAAAACTTAATACTCTGATTACTAAAACAATATAAAATATCTCAAGCTTTAGATATCTGAAGTTTCACATTAAAATTTTCTTCAAATTACATTTTGGTAAACTTTGCAATTTGTTAGTCTTGTAGCTGTAGAATTGTCGAAAAACTATAATCTGGCAATAAAATTCTTATTCCTTTGCATGAATGATCGGGAGAAAATGTGCGATAATAACAAATACGTGCAGGAATACACATACATAATCCATTTACAAGATACATCTGGAATGAACTTAACAATGACTAATTGTATAGCATACAGCAGTGCGTCAATTATAACAGAATATCTTCACAATAGCGCAATCCACGCGTATTTATTCTGGATAGTGAATCTTTCAGAAGAATAAGTTCTTTATAGTTTATATATGATACTGTGTCAATAATTAATGTATCCTGATAATGTTTAAAATATACGTGTGTATGTTACATCACCCATTAATTTGCAACTTTGCCCTAGCATTTATACATATGTATTCGTATAGACTACAGTGTTCTACAAAATATTAGCCATTAATGACAGTTTATCTTCCGTTTTCTTTTTATAGAGTGAAAGCACAAGAGGATCAGCAACCTCTCATATCTTTCAGGTTTACTCATATGAATTATTTCATTGTTTATACAATACTTATACAAAAAGACCTGTTATTACCGTGTCGACGTTAGATATTTTGGCCAATTTTTAATTTTTCCTTAACAAATTATGACGATATAAAAATACCAATTATAAAATAAATATATATTAAATCTACTCTGTAAGAATACATGTTCGAATAAGAAAGAATTAATGTCATTCATGATTATTTTCAGTTACATGTACAGCGTCTATCGCTAGATGTTTAGAATGCAATCCGTTCGCGATTCCAAAATTATGGTTTCGAGAATACGAAAATTACAAAATTATGTGGTATAATAACGCAAAGTATAATTTGATAGAAAACAATTGCCGTCTATTTTATTATAACTTTGCATTTTCTGGTAATAAATGAAATAATGCCTCTCTTTTAAATTTGAATTAAATTTTTATCCGATAAAAACAGTCTTGTAGAGGCCCTCCACTAACTTTTAGGCGTAGCATGGACACGCACAAGGTGGTGACTTTATCGACAGTGTCAGAAAATGCATAGCAAAATAGTTCCAAAAGGAAAATTGGGCGTGAAGGCGTGCAAAACAGTCTTTTGAAACGGTATCAAGTAAAACGCCGGGTGTGGCCGCTCTCAGGTTTCTCTCCGATTCAAGACTGTCTTAAGCCCGTATCAGACTACGGATTGAGATTGGATTAGATTGAAATTTGACCAATCAGAGTAAAAGTTACTGAACTTGAGATTAGTAAACTTTACTGTGATTGGTTAAATTTTAATCTAATCCCAATCCCAATCCGTAGTCTGATACGGGCTTTACTCTGATTGGTCAAATTTCAATCTAATCCCAATCTCAATCAGTAGTCTGATACGGGCTTTACGATCATCTTTAGACCGGTTTTCATAGGCTGATGGCAGACAACTATCCGTAAGCGCTTAATGTAGTCTGTACACGTGTTCCACGGCTTACGTTTTTCTCTGCCTTACCTTAAGTCTACGACTACGTCAGTCTTAAGCGCTTACGGATAATTGTCTGCCATCAGCCATAGTCAGATCTTATACTCACGACTGTCTTAACGTCATCTTAAAATACTCCGTAGCCAACGAAATGTTCCATACAGTATCTTTAGATAAATTCAAGACGGTCTAGAGTACTCTAGAGTATACGATCTGACTACGAATAAGTTTCTTCGTGTGTTCGGGCCTTTATACCACACTTGACGTAAACGTATCGCTACGCGCGGCACTCACTTGATGCAAATTCCGCTACTTTTGCAGCACGATATCGCACGTGCTGCAAAAGTAGCGGAATTTGCAACTCCGCGCGGCAGGCGCGTTGCTCACTGAAGACGCCGTACGCCGATTGGTCGGTTTCGAATTGCGCTCGTCGCGCAGCTTCGTCGCTATCGCGATTTCGCGGTCACGATATCCCGTCCTCGTCTCGTCTCCCGCTATTTGGCTAGTTTTACGTTTGTCGTACAACAAATTTCTTATCGTGTATCGATTGGCTGCAGGACATTAAAATTCTCGAGTATCTAGAAATTTTCTATTCAGCAGCCAATCAACACACTTGAAAAATTTGTCGTACGACAAATGTAACATCGATCTTTCTCGCAACGCTTCGGCGGCTTCGGCGCCTATGTAGCCCGAGACCCTGGGACGAACGTCGAGCCTGAAAAATCCGTCTCGCCGGTGCCCATGGCATCGATCTGCGTGTAGTGCGATCCTGTACGTCCTCTGCCCCCCCCCCCCTCTCCGCGCCCAGACCCAATTCTTTCGAACGCGACCAATCGCGCCTCGCTTGAGCGACGCACGGCTCACGATTGGCCGGCTGGGACTCGATGCGTATAAGCCTAGCTGCTGAGCTGTTTCGTTACTTTCGTTCCCGGACCATCGACGCGCACGGACTCTGTTTCTGGACGTGTTTGAACGCTCACGTGTCCGAGGGGGCGACCGTAGAGATTTTCGATCGCGTAGATCGTGAGGAATTGCAGGATAATTTTAAGGTGAGAAACGAGGTAGACGCGGAACTCGGCGACGGAATTTCTGGGCGCGGTGTTTAATACGCGGTCAGCGTGTTTACGCTTGTGTTTCCCCGAGCGTGTTTACTTCGTCGCCGGGCCATGTTACTCGAGCTCGGCGACGAAGGGCTCGGGTTGTGTCGGGTTACACGTTAAGCGTGGGAACGAATAAAGAGAAAATTGCGCCTCGCGTGCATCAAACCCTCGTTTCGTTCGCAAAATCGAGCCGCAACTCGTCCCGAGTGTTCGTCGCACAGACCGGCGCGGTGATCGGGGCAGCTCGTCGCGATAGCGTCCTTTTTTTTTTTTCCACGCGCACAGAATCGCTGATGTATTTCGTCATTTCCGTCACGATTTGTAAACGCACGCGAGGTATGTTCCCTGTTTTTCATGTAGACATCGAGACTACAAGTCTTGTTAGTTTTGCGGAAAATCGGTCGAGATCGTACAATCGGAACGTAAACTTCGGCGTAGAGGAAACGTCTCGCGTCAATAATCGATTTACCGGGTATTCCCTCGACTCGCTTTCTATCCTTTTCCAGCTCCAGAAGCAGGAAAAGGATAGCGAGAGAAAGTTTTATTTGGGTCGAGGTTAACGATCCGAGATTGGGGGTTTTCGGTAGCTGAGGGTCCGAGCGGATTGGCCCGTCTTTTATTCTCAAGTCACGAGGCAGTTATTGTGCGTTACTTTAAGGCAAAGATTCGAGACAAAACGCTGTCTCAAGAGTACAAAACGACCATTTTGCTCAGGCCCCAAAGTCGCCAGTGCGAAGGCGCGCGACACTTCTTGCGTTTACGAAGATGTGAAGGACGTAGTAACGTACTGTGTCGAGATATTTCCCTCAGGTAAACACCCCCCCCCCCCCGTTCGGTTGTAATAAGTATCGACAAATTGCTCGACGGGTTAGAGAGGGCGATTTTTCGGGCGATGTCCAACGTTGCTGACGCAATTTTCAGATTTTGCCTCTGATACTCGAAGATGTCTGGGCAAGACCGAAAACGAGGTTATGACGACTCGTCAGAACCATCAACCAGTGGTTATCGCAAGAAGCCTTTCGACAGGAGGAGCACAAGTTCAGTAAGTGAAATAACGCGTAGAAATAAGAGAGCAAACGGATGCTTTTTGCGCAACGTTGAGCTCGAATTAATGAAGATGAAATGAGATTATAAAGCGCTTTATTGCAAAATAATTTGTGACCTTTTTTTGTTCAAACCCTGAGGTAAACGTTTCGCAATCAATTGAAGAATTAATATCATTTAGGCGCTAACATCCTGTCTTGGCTGTTATATCTGCTTTATCCCTTCGAATTGTGATATTACGTCAGTCTTATAAATTTTTTTGCTGGACTTTTTTTTTGTGTACTCCAAAAGTCTAAAAGCAATTTGTTTTGTTCTGGTGATAAAAAGAATTGTTATGTCATTTGTCGCACGACAAATTTTTCCTGCGTGTTGGCTGCGGAACAGAAAATTTCCAGAGACTCGACAAGGTTTCTGTTCTGCAACCAATCGACACACTTGAAAAATTTGTCGTGCAACAACTTTTTTAAGTCTGTTGACTGGCTGATGAATAGAAAATTTCTAGATACTCGAGAAGTTTACTGTCTTGTAGTCAATCAACACGCTTAAAAAATTTATCGTACGACAAGTGTAACATCAGCCTTACACTGGACTAGGCCGAGCCAAGACGGAGATTTTTTTTGTAATTAATAACTCGTTAACTATTGCAAAAGTTGCAAAGTGATAGAGGACTTTTCGGCTCAGTTTTGGTTTGCTGTGTCTACAGAAAAAAATAAGTCCCAAACATTCACCGATACCCTGTATATGGTAGAAGCAAGCTTTTTAAACCTTTGAAGAAATCTTTTAGTTATTCTCAATCCTTGCTTATAAGATTGACAGATTG